AAAATTGACATTGTCGCATCAGTGTGCATGCGTGAGTGTAGGTCTTAACTGTGCCTCTCTTTCTTTCTTTTCTCTAGTCTTCCTTTTTTCATTGTCTGTCTATCAAACCCTGTTCGTTTACTGTTTTTCACTTTTCTCCTTTTTTCTTATTTTGGTTTGCTGTTTAGATGTGTATGCGTGTGTGTGAGCAGTTGAACATAATACTTATAGTTTTTCCTGTTTTTATGTTATGATTACTTTTTTTATATTCCCTTGTTTTGAGTCCTTAGTCCGAAAATCGAACTTTTCCCCGTTGTGTTGTAACCCCCATTCTGCGCCCCATCCAATGCTAGGAGGTCCTGGTCACTGCACTAAATTAATCATATATATATATATATATATATATATATATATATATATATATATGTATATTCTCTCTCTCTCTCGTTTTCTCCCAGCGAAATGTTTTTGGGGTCCAGAGATGAAAAACATCAAATAAGATAATTTGACTTAACTATTTTATTTACATCAACGGATACACCTAGAGGGATTGCTCTCCCTCTACCTGGAAGCAGATTCCAGACACGAAGAAGAAACATGTCTACATCGCTTGATGTTTAAGAAACAACTCATTGAAAAAACTTTCCATATCTTAATCATTCCCACGCTTGTTCAGCCAATCAAAATCGTCTTCCTTTATTTTGTCTTGTATCTGATCTCAAAGGTCAAACTCAGAAAGTTCGAGCAGAGAGACACTTCTCTAAGAAATAATAGTCTACCAAACTATTATTTAACAGTTCCATCTACCCTTGAGTCCAATCTACCCGAGCTAGCTCGATCGAATAAATAATAAAACCTGATTGGCATCCTGCATTCCAATAGCAGTTGATTTTAAACGGTTTACTCCTGATTTTTTCCTTCTCAAAGATGGACTGCTTTCAGTACGCTCATCTAAACTCTGAAATTTTATTTACTATTTTTAAAAAAATATTAATCTCGTACTTTATTTATTAGGTGTAGTTGTGTTCGGATATCATCGTTTTCACGTTCCTTTCCCGTCTTTTGAACAGGAGTAGACGTTTATCCCTTGTTTCTTATTTAGGATTAGGTTTATGGTTCCTTCTCCTAAAGTCGTCTCATTCTCTTTCACTCCCAGTAACCCCCTGCGTCTTAGAAACGTTATCCCCTTGCTTGGGGTGAAATGATTAAGAATAAAAATTATAAATTTTTAAGCCTTTAGAGTCAAAATTGAAATAGAGGAAAGGAAGATGCTGGAGATTTGAGGAGATTTTCTGTTACTCGATGTCAAGGGGATGCCATTAGATAGTCCCGGTGTACAAACGCAATATGAATTCTAGTAAAAAAAAAAGGCCCGGAGATTATAATAGTTTTGCAGTCGATAAAATCGCAACTTTTAGACATTACTTTCTTTATTTAAAGTCTTGAAGGTTCTAGCTGGAGGATAACTCATTATAAACTGAACTAATTAACTTTGCTTGAAAAGACATGTTTGCATTTACTGTGAAAAGAATCCAGCATAATACAAAATGTCTACATAATTAAAATTTTAGATTGCGAGAAGAATATCTACGTGAAAGATGTGTGAAGAATATATGATGGGAAGGGATTTCTGAAGATTATTTTTGGTTGGGAGGGTTCAAGTTTGTCTTAGGAGAGGGGACTTGAAATCTGTTTGGGAGGAGTGCATAAAAGAAAATGCAAGGGGGGGAGATTTGAAGTATATCTCAGGGATGTGATTTGAAAACTGTCTTACTGGCGTGATTTGAGGGATATTTGAAGAATAAGCAAATGTGAGGAAGGAAAAATTATCTAGTATATTCACCATTCTGCGATAAATTCGTGCTGTCACATGACTTAATTTCGTGGATTTGTATTTGCTATTAATGGCGTAAATTGATTGATTGATTCGTTTTCTACTGCTTATTAACCCTTTGCAGGTTATTTAAATCCAGAAAATATTTTTAGATTTATTACAAATAATTTTCTAAAATCAATGCTAGTATAGTCCAAAATCCTTTTACACTGGACTCCTGCTGATTAGGGATTAGTAGTACAAGTAAAGCTAACTTTGAATTTTAATTGAGGGATTTACTGATTCGTTTTCCACGGCTTATCCACTCTTTGCAGGTTATTTAAAACCAGAAAATATTTTTAGATTGTCAGAATTTTTTTGAGATAATTATGATTAAGTGATACAAGTCTTACTAAACCCATAGATGGGAGGAGAAAACATGGATTCATGCTTTTTTCAAGGGTATTTGTGCGTAAGTGAATATAACGAACCTGACTGGAATTGGAACTCTATATTCCGATTAACAATTCTGAGCCCTTATCCATTACACCACCCGCACATCAAAGCTTACAGAAACTGATATTCACATGCGATCAACTATCTAGGTACTGACCAGACTCGACGTTGCTTAACTTTGGTGATCGTACAGCCTAATGACGTAAAAGATTAAGTGTCAACTGCTTGTAACCCCAAGTGAGGCTCATTATATTAGGTTTTCAGACAAAGATATAACTTTTAGGATCTCTTCAGATTATTATAATCTGCTTCAAATTATATCTCTTTCTGATTCACTCCACGATAGAACTTGTATTCCAACTTGTCCATCACTACTGAAGTGTTGCCTTTGTGAGCTGGCAGTAATGATGACATTAATGTCTCTCTGTAAGGTCTTTACTGCTAACCTTCCTTCCCTTGTGATGTTTGATTTACGCGATTTGTCCTTTTCTAGTGTTTGTTTCACTCTCCACCCTAGCATTTGCATGGGAGCTTCGAGATCTCCAAGACAACCTCCTCCACTGGAGCAATAATGTCTAAGTATGGAATGATAACGATGGCGAAGTTGAGTCCCTTGTTTAACACCGATTCCTCGGAGAATCATTATACTGATAGCTGACAAAAGCAACGCTTCACTGGTGATGAACAAGTTGGAGTATTCCGAAAAATTGACAAGCCTCGTGAGTCCAAATATACTGTGTACTTGAACTTAGTGGAAACGGCGAGTAATAATAGAACAGTACTAAAAATAAAAACTATACGAAGTATCCCTAGACATGGGCAGTGGAACAAGAACAGTCTACTTTGTAAATTAAATAAAGGGTTAAGTTATGGAATTCTCTATCAGTTACCTGGATCGATATACATCTGATGAAAGTCACAACGACTGAAACGTTGTGACAATAGCAACAAAAATGAGGACAATTGTCCAAATTTAAATAGTGTGAATACCGACAATACAGGTCATTTTAAAATGTATACTTTTTTTCCCACAATTTCCAGCAATATTTTGCTTCGTTTGTTACTATTGCAACCCAACGCAGTATATAACACTTTAATTTTTAATTCCGGAATTTCCTTATTAGGTTGTATTATTTTGTTAGTCCGAATCCCTTATTTAATGCTCAGACGATCTACCCTACTTTTAAATATTATGACATTTACTGTCTTTTAACCTGGTCGCCTTCTGATGTCGAGTCACTTTTATATCTGGTATACATTGATGTTGAGGTCATTCAAAAACCCTATCACGAGTTCGACATTTTTATTTATTTATTTATTTATCTATGTCTGTCTATTTATATTTTCTTGACTAAATTTGTAAGTGAAAGAAATAAAAATTTCTCCTCCTATTTTTTGATTTGTCTAAATATACCACAGGATGTGCGGGTGTTGTAATAGATAGCGTCCTGGAATGAGAAATCGGAGAACCAAGTTCGAATTCCAGTTGGCTTCGTTATGCACAAATACCCTTGGAAAAGATATAAAAAAATCTTCCCTTCCTATGGGATAAATAGTAGAAAGTTTATCTAGGAAAATCATAGTTATTTGTAAAAAATTGTTAATGCAATATTCACTCGCAGAAACCAAAAATGTTTAATATTCTTACAATCAAAAATATGTAGTATCTCTTCCATTCCTCATTAAGCTATGAGAGATGCCTGGCCCCTGAGATACCAGCGCTGTGGTAGCACTTCCCTCATTGCAATAAAGTGAGATAAATTCCGGATATTAATGCTGGCGTGACAGTTTTTTTTTCCTTGGATTATGTGTACACTTATGGGAACCCAACATTAAAACTGACCTTGTGTCATATCTCGCGACCGTGACTAGTCGAGTAAATGCAGGATCACAGTGTAGTATCTGCCTTCGGGCGTACAAACTACATTTTATCTCTCAACTGTGTTTCTGTCTTCGGACAAAGCATAACAAATAAATGAGAGATGTCTGATCCCGGGGATTCCAACCTTGCGTCAGCACCCTCATTACACCAAAGAGAGAGGTAGGTGGAATGACGATGCCAGCGCTTGGACTCCTCACTTTAAGCCGGTCATGTGCCATATCTCGACACCGTGGAGGGTGAGTAAATAACGAGTGAATGCAGTATCAAAGTGTAGTATCTGTTCCCTATTTTCCTTAAAGTTATGAGGGATGTTCAGGCCCGGGGATAAGTCGGCGCCTTCCTCATTGCACTAAAGAGGCCAGTGTGACAGTGATCGTGGGTACTGAGAATTATTACTTTGGGTATACCAAAGTAAAAAACTATTCGTGGAAATGATTGATTCAATCATTCATAGAATCATTTCTTTAATTGAACAAAAACCTATCTTCAAATTTCATGTAAACCAAAAATTCATTCATATGACGAAAATCAACTGGTCATCTTCTAGCCCATTTAAAATTACAATTCAGTTCTCTTTTTATTCGTTTCCGTTATGTAAAATCGTATTTAAAATCTTTCTGTTTAGATCAATTTGGTTTCGAAATTCCATGCAAAACAATTTGACTTTAAAGCTTTAACAACGAAATTGAATTAAACTGTGTTGATTGCCAATTTCCTGATATTTTCCGTTGAAAGATGTCATGTTTATAACTTTAAGCGTCAACTTTGACATTTGGAAGGAAAGTTTGCAATTTTCAAGACAGTGATTGCAAGAAATAAATTATTCTGGCCAGAATTGTACATCAATCGAATTTTGTTGTAAAGTAAAAGTCATCGTAAGGAAAAGCGTAGGAATATCAATTTGATAGCAGAAAAAAATTTCCAATAATATTTAAAGAATGCATTGCAAGAATGATTGCTCTGGGGTTGAGATAGATAAACGGTGGAGAGAAAAGAAGAACACTTTAAAAAAGTGTGTGCGAAAGAAGAGGAGAAGAGAGGCGGGAAGTAAAATAGAGGAAGGCAAGAGAGGAGATGAGAGAGAGAGAGAATAGAAGAGGGAAGGAAAATAGAAAAACAAGAAGGAGAAAGATGAGAAGGAGGAGGGAAATGTAAGAGAGGGTGATGATAGAGAAAGAGAGAGATAGAGAGGGAGACGAAATAGGAAGAAAGAGATAAAGAACGATTAAGAAGAGAGGCGGAGGAGAAAGCAGAGAGTGGAAGGAAATAAAGGATGAAAAGGGAGAGAAAGGGATGACGGAAAAAGAGGAAGAATGAGATAGAGAGAACGGCAAGAAAAAAGGAGAGAGAAGAGGGATGATAATAGATAGATAAATTATGTGTGTCAGTGAGAGAGAGAGAGAGAGAGAGAGAGAGAGAGAGAGAGAGAGAGAGATTGAAAGAGAAAGAGAAGGAAAAGATAAAAAAGAAAACTGTTTCGTTGCGTGTTTCCCTCCGGCGGAAATAGGTGTTCAAGTCAAAGTAAACCGCAAGGATTTCGAACGTTGATTTTTAAGACCGATTTTTCTCTCCTGGAAAGTTGGCGCAGCCGAACTTTATATCATTATTTGGTCTAGAGCCGTATTAAGCTATATTTAGCAAATATCGATGAAAATATAACCATCGTTGCATATTTTGTGCATATACCAGATGAAGATAAATTTGAGATATAAACACGGATTTCAAACGTTGATTTTCAATGATGGTAGACTCTTGTTTTCTTGATTCTATTTCACATTGGCTCGCATTAATCTAAGCTTAGTAAATACTTTGAATGCTTACTTTCAGCACAAACATGCATTTCCTAACTGGAAAACCGAAGCTAGACCAACTTTATCATTCTATTTCCTTCACCTTTTGCATTGCGCCGTACTAACTTAGACTTTGTAAATATATATGACTATGAGGTAGAATTTGAAATAAAAATTTTCAACGCAGGCAGGCCAATTTCGAAAACTGGCGCTATACATTCATCCTACTCAGATTTACTCTATTTTGACTTTATTCTGTACCCATTTAACGCTTTAAAGTATTTATTAGGCAAAACGTCAGTATTCTGAATTCTGGCTTTCTACATTTGAAAGACTGACGCAATACAATCTTTTGATGTCAATTTTTCTCTGGTTGATTCTGTGTCAGAAAAAAGCTAAGTTTCATCAATTTTCTATAGAAAAAAGAGCGTTGTGTAGGAGGTGGTTAGAGATATGCAGATACATTGTAAGAAAGATAAGAAAATAAAATAAAATCGGGAATGAACGTAATTTGTTGATGTTCAGATAGAAAAGCAATCACGTCAATTGGAATTTATTCATTGGCAAGAACTGAAACAGGAACCAAAAAAAAAAAAAAAACTTAAAGAAAACAATTCGAACAGCTGGAATTGGTACAGAAGAGAAAGGAAGACAAATAGGGGAACTAACAGAAAAAAGTGTTAAAAAGAAACGAAATATTAAGAGAGAGAGAGAGAGAGAGAGAGAGAGAGAGAGAGAGAGAGAGAGAAAGCGTGAGAGAATAAAAAGGAAAGTGAACAAGAAAGAGAAATAGAGAGAGAATAAAACGGAAAGTGAGTAAGAAAGACAAAGAGAGAGGGAATAAAAAGGAAAGTGATTAAGAAAGAGAAATATAGAGAGAATAAAACGGAAAGTGAGTAAGAAAGAGAAATAGATAATAAAATGGAAAGTGAGTAAGAAAGAGATAGAGAGAGGGAATAAAAAGGAGAGTGAGTAAGAAAGAGAAAGAGAGAGAATAAAAAGGAAATTGAGTGAGAAAAAGAGAGAGAGAGAGAATAAAAAAGTAAGTATTGAAAAAAATGACAGGAGGCTAGGTGAAAGAGAAATAATGAAAAATCATGCGAAGGAAATAAATTTGAACAAATTCTGACGAATAAAGAAAACTGAGAGGAAGAAGATTTCGAGGAAGAAAAAGAAAACCCTGAAATGAACGCAAGAAGAAAACGAAGAAAATCAAAGGAAGAGAAAAAAAAAAAGAAAGAAGGATGAGAAGAAAAATCAGAAGGAGAAGGAAGAAGAATGAAAAGAATGAAGCAAAAAAGAAGAGAAAAATAGAGTGAAAATTATAACGTAGACAAAGGCTAAGCTAAAGAATGATGTAAAGGAAAAGAAAGAAAGAAAGAAGGAAAAAAAAAAGAAAGAAAGAAAGAAAGAAAGAAAGAAAGAAAGAAGAAGAAGAAGAAGAAGAAGAAGAAACGGTATTGGAAGAATGAGAAGAAAAAAGATGAAAATGAAAAAATACGAAAAAGGAGAATTTAGAGAAAGAGAAAGAGAAAGAAGAGAAAGAATCAAAGAGGAACTGGAAGAAGAAAAGAAGAAACTTAATCAAAGGAATAAGGAAGTAAGTCGTTTATGCTGCCAAGATCATGCGAGTCGACCGGAAGCAACTTTCTGTTTTATTTCTTTTATTTGTCTTGCTTTCCTTTTCTCAGTCACGCTGTCGAACGACGTTAGATGTTATCACAGTAGCCATGACTGCTCGGTTAGAAATATCCAGTCGCCGTTGTCTCCATGACAATTCCTGTGTAGAGGATCGATATTGTTAATACAAAATTGATTGTAATCTTTGTCACTCGGGCCTCTCCCTTTTATAAACGCTATTTCTCCTGCTTCCCTACACCTCTTACTCTCCCACCTATCAACATCTTTTCTTTCGAATCTCGAATTACGAATCTCTACCTCCCTCTATCTGAAGGTTTCATAAAAACTTTGACTTAATTTTCTTTCTTTCTTTCTTTCTTTCTTTCTTTCTTTCTTTCTTTCTTTCTTTCACAAACTATTTTTAACATGGTTTTATAGTTATCTTTACCCTTCTTCCTTTCATGTTGTCTCCATTTTTCCTTCGTCTTTACAATTTATTTTTCTTTCTTTTAGTTATGTTTTATTCTTCGTCAGTTGTAAAAGTTTTTATTATTATCATTATTATTATTATTATTATTATTGTTATTATTATTATTATTATTCCCGAATAATCAAAGATGCAGACAAATGACATCACTTCTCTTCTCATATTTGTCATTCTTATCTCTTTTCAAATCTTTCTATCTTTCAATCTAACATTATCTCCCTTTCTTGAGCATATAATCCAGATCACTATTTGTATCGTTATTCGATTCTAAATTTCTTTTTATTGTTTATTCTTCCTCTCACAACAGTCTTCGTCTTCTTTACTGCTAATCGTCCCTTGCTTGGAGATAGAGTTCCTCATTGTTATTATATTTCAGTAAAGTTGGCCAGCCGTAGAGCTTTCCGTTTCTTGGTAATATTGTCCGTCCGAGTCGAACTCTGGAGACAATCTGACGAATTTCATTGATAATTCATCGCAATTTCTTGCTTTCTTGACCTTAAGCTTGGCAAAATGATATTGAATGACGTTTATAATTGGAAATCGATCTTTGCCTTTGTTGATATTTATAACTTCGGGACTTCAGAGATTTTACATGTATACAAACGTACTATTAAATTTCATTCACCGTTTAACCCTATTCTCTCTCTTCATTCGCCTAATCATCAACTTATTTTTACTTTTCACTAATGCTCTTAGGAAAGTCGTGAATCTACTTTTCCTGACATTTTGTAAGATCACAAAATGTCTCGTCACTGGCATGTGAGTGAAACCTCAGACAAATCCCTCACCCATAGTAGTAGTAGTAGTAGTAGTAGTAGTAGTAAGAAAAAAGTTTTTTTTTTTTTAGTATTATACGGAATTCTCAGACAGTTATTTATACACTGCTGAGAAAATAATGTATAGGACAGTGAACGTTTTTATGGAAATATATCATTAATGTCCAGAAAATATCCAGCTACTTTAAATATTTCAAGAAATAGTTACGGGGCCTTGATGTTAGTGAGCGACGAATCAGAAGAGACATTATTGCATGTGCTGGAACAGAAACTTTTCTCAATGGCAAGTGAGCTTGCATAATGTGTGCCCATCGCAGTCTCGTGCATTTTATCCAAACATCACATGATCCAGGTTTGGCAGATTTATCCCCACCCCAAGTCCAAATTTAGCTCTCAACGATTTCTGGCATGTCCCAAAGTTACAATCGCCGAAATTAAGATGAAGCAGGTAACTAGTCAGCTGATGGTGTTCCCGATAGTGCAAATAGTTTTGAAAAGTGGTAAGCTGGAATAAGTATTTGAAGTCGGAAGGAGTGTACTTTTAAATGGAATAAAGTGCCATTGCTCTAGGTAGGATATTTTTCAGTAATATTAACGGCCGTATTCGTTCCAGTCTGTCCTCGTAAATGCTATTCGACATTTCTTTTCAAGTCTTTTCCGCTCCGATACATAAAATCATGACTGTCCATATGAATGGCCTTTTGTGATGTGTGGCATGGTCGCTCGATTGAATTGTGCAAATGACAGGCACTCGGGCCAATTTCTATAGAAGCCTATTCAGTTGCAATTACTGGGCTTAGCTTCGAATTTACATGTGACTCAATCGAGTATCTAAAATGAAGCGATTTTTTTCTTTTTTTCTTTTTAATTTAAATCCAACATAGCGTCAGTTAACCTCTGCTTTGACTTCTTAATGGAGTTTGTCAATGGGAAACTGTTTTTCTTTTTTTTTTTCTTTCTTTGTATTCGATTCAGTATGATTGTTAGGCAAAAAGTGACGACTGGAATGACACAATCAACGGAACAAACGGAAAAAAAGCTAATCAAAATCCCATTGACAACAATAATAAAAACAATCGAACTTGAATAATACTAACAATAGTATATGAGGAAGTAACCAGCAATTTTGGAATGAATACGTCGAAAACCGGTTGTGCAGTTTTGATGAAACTTAGCAACCAATCAGAAGGGACCTTGCTGCACATGCATTTTACAGACGTAGAATTACACAGGCAGACGCTATTTACTGAGCATGTGTACTCTGTCCAAGTGAGTATATATTATTATCATTATTTTTTTTTTTGAAAACGTTGGTCATTTAGATCTGTCATTACATACAATTAAAGTTATGCCCCCCCGCCACATCTGGCTATTACCGTTATAAGAAAGGTAAAAAGAAAACTAATTTCAAACCGTGGACGAAATTGAGGAGTACGCGCCCAAGGAAAACATTACAGATTGTTTTTAATAGTCAAAGAGTCGCTGGGATAAGTGTGTGAGGTCCAAAGAGGAGAACCTTGATTGGGATTGCCTTATTTTTGTCAATATTAAATGTGACGTTCATATTCAGATAAACTTCTATACTAATATTAGGTGTATCATTAAGAGTTTCTATTTTTTTACAGATCATTACTCCTAAGTTTATTTTATTAAAAAAAAAAAACGAAAGAGAAAAAAGTAGAATAAAAGAAATTAAACCACACACACCCAGACACCTCACCCCCCATTCTTGTGAGGTGGTTAATCTCTCCACTCCCACTCCCACTCCCATAAAAGTAAGACAATTCATTTCTAATAGATACCAACACTTCACCAAAAGAATCTGTCTAGCTCTGAACGTGAAAACAGCAAGTTTGAAGTTTGGAGAATGGCCGACGAATTAATGCAAATAATTTACAAAATTTGTCCTTTTTTTACGGAAAACATTAAATGTTTGATTTATTTTAATTGATGCGTATAATACACACACACATATATATCATTCGCAGACAGTACTGCTTCGCTGTATCACAATCGAATGCCTCAAGCCCTGATCGAAACCCAACCGATTTGGTTTCAGTCAGAACTTCTATCACTGGGACATCTTCACTCGACAGCGTATTGTTTTTACAAACGTAAACAAACGCCAAGCAGCTAAAGCGACTACTATATATATATATAGAGACTACTATAGTGACTACTATATATATATATATATATATATATATATATATATATATATATATATATATATATATATATATATATATATAGATTTGAATAACTGGATTAAAATTAACATTGTACGTACTATCATCCCATTTCTCTCGAGTAGCTGGATTTAATGAATTTGCTAAGTAACGGTTAGCTATTATAAGGGTAGGTTTCTGAAGGTAATTGTTAATGGCCAGTACTGTGGTGCCCTAGCAATCATCGCAGATATTCAGGGGTTGCTTCTTGGACGAACCCCTATTTTACTTTACATAAATGATCTGACTAAGAGTATACCCGATCATTATATGCTGATGATATAATGGTATATGGGTACACCTCCAAAACTCTAGATGACCAGAGATTGGCAGGCGATATCTCCTTTGACATAGCTCTAACATCTCAGTTGGGGGGAAAAACTGATTGATTATATTCAACGCATAGAAAACCAAACTAGTTGCATTTCATCATCGCCGATCGGACCCTGAACTATCACCAATCACGGTGAATGGTTGTTCCGTCAGAGCTGCTCTGTGCCTTGAGCACCTATTGGGACAAACTCAACCCAGACCCCAAGTGGGACTCGTGCATACAATCCATGGCTGAAGTTGCTGGAAAAATGGTTGGTTCCTCCTTCTTCTATTCTCTACTTTAAGAGCCAGATTAGACCGAAAATTGAGTACTACTGCTATATATAGGCAGAAGCTGCCCAGTCCTCACTTTCCAGTCTTGATAGAGTCTAGAAGCGTCTCCGCGTCCTTGTGGGTGACAAATTATTTTCAACCTTACAATCCCTTTCTCATAGAAAAAAAAAAGTCGCAAGCCTCTTACTGTTGTAATAATGCCATGGAAAGTGCTCAGATGAACTACATTTCTTAGTTCCGACAGTTCTAACCTTCATGGCTGGGACCCGCCATGTTACGCACATTACAGCCAACCACACTCATTCCATTCGAATTTCACTGGTGATTTTAAGCTTCACTTGAGCGGCTTCTTACCTCGAACAGCTGATATTTTCAGATGAGCTTTCTAGTGTCGGTATTAAAAGAAGAGAGGAAATTACCGTGTTGATACATATTATTTTTTTTTATTCCGAATACTTTTGACATTAACACAATGCCATCCTCAGGGTGTGTTTTTAAGACAAAAATGTAGTGTTCATTATTTCCAAAGACAAAATTGCTATGTCCATCTGAAAGTTATAATTTTACATGTGGAGTGAGGACCGCTAGTTTTTGTGCAATGCAGTGTATATTACGTTCTAGGGAAGGTAACTAATTATGATGTGTGAAGAGTTCTTTTTTAAAAAAGAAGATAGTATGAGAAGCTATTAATATAGACCTTGATATTTTAGTCTATGTATTGTAAACATTTTAAAACATTTGCGCAGTATTCATAATTAATTTTGTTAAGGTTTGTTTTCAATTTTTAATATAGGTGGCTTCAATGATTTTTAGTTTATGTTTATTATTTTCATGAGAGAGTATGGATGTATTTTCGAGAAGAATTTTTCTAAATTGCGAATGCAGACAAGCATTTTGTTGTAAATGTTTAGAGATGTTAGACATGTCATTCAAATAAAAACTCAACCGCCGAGACAACGTGATCGTAGTATAGACAATATAAATTGTATCAACACAGTAATTTTCTCACTTCTTTTAATACCGACACCAGAAACCCCAATATGAATATAAACGGATCCTGTTGAAAATAAGCAGACAAACTTGTCTCAACTATTCAACGAAACTTTCATCAATATATATATATATATATATATATATATATATATATATATATATGCAAGTTTCATTAGTTTTTTTAAATTTTTCATTTGTTCGTATAATTTTCTTATTTTCTGGACGTAAATTATAGAGAAATTGTCCAAATGTTTTATATGTTCGATCGCTTTCGGTTATACTTTTAACCATTATCAAGAATGAATTTTATTTTTATTTTTAACTTAATGTATGGATTGTTTTATGTATATATCTAGAGTTATAGGAAAAAAAAGAAGCAAATTATAAGAACAGATGAAAACTTAATCGCATTACTTTGTCAGTTGTTTTTATTAAAACTTGTATAAAACAGGGATACACAAAAAGTAAGTTTCAGAACAATTAAAAAACAGGAATTAAGAAGACAGCAGATAACGATTGACATTGCATTTCAATTTTTGAAGATCAAAGTTGACTGGAAAGCAAGTGGCTGGAAGAGAGTTCCACAAGCAAGAAGACCAAACTCCATAGCGATATCATCATTGATTTTTTTTATTGTTAACAAACCAACTAATTAATTATTTTTAAAATATTATTATTATTATTAATTTCTTCTTTTTTTTCTTGTTGTTGTTCTTCAGGACAGGCGATAATGGCTCTCCACAACTTCCTATTTCGTGTGACTCTGCAGTTTTTTCCCTTTGCTAAGACCACTGCCCCCGTTCCACCAACCATTCACACAATCTCGTCAGGTAAGTATATCGTTGCCTTCCCCTTATCAATCTTGCCCTCAATAGGTACCGTAAGGGTTAAGTTTTCCAAGCCCTCCTTCCTCATTAAGAGTTCAAGTATTTTTTAGCAGTCTTTTGGGTATGTGTTCTTTCTGTTGCCATTGACTTTAAGACTTCCTTGTTGCTAACTCCTTCCGTCCATGGAATTTTCAGTATCTTTCTGCGGAACCATATTTCTGTTGCCTTTACTTTTTTCCTCATCCATGGAGAGATTGTCCAATATTCACTGTCATATAAGAGGATGGATATCACATAGCAATCTATCACTCTTTTCTTCGCTTTTAACATTTGTTTTTTGTTTTGTTGCACCTTGCTTATCTTTTGGAATGCTTGCTTCTACAGAAAGATGCTGAGGATATTATCGACCGAACATATAAGCAAGGACAAAGTTTTGGAGAAAATGGAAACAAAAAGAAAACTGATACTGAACATCAGGAAGAGAGTTGAAGTTTCTGGATCACATAATGAGGAAACAGGAATTGGAAAATTTGATACTCACAGGACAGATAGAGGGCAAGAGGGACAGAGGAAAACAACATATTTAGTGCGATCGACTAAAAGAATATTAAGACAAGACTCAGGGGAAATAACAGAAAGACAATTTATTAAGGGCTAC